GCCGGTGATGAATTTAAACGCAAAGGTCATATTATATTTCCATATTTATTCATCAATTGATCATTAAATATGTTGTTTTATTAAAAAAAAAAAAAAAAAATCTTTCTTCCAATAGCTTCCCAACAACTTTTAAAGACTATTCATACAGCTTTGACAGAAATAACGATCAACGCTCCGGACTTTGAAACACTTTTATTCTTTAAAACTGCGTCAAAGTTATATCGTGAAAAATTATTACCGCAAAACTTTACCTTTTCGGATAAAATGGTTTTATTACGAAGAATAGCAAAGGTTATTATTATATTTATTATTTAATTTTATTTAGTATTTTTGTATAATATATTTATAATCGATTCATTAATTATTTCAGAAATATTCTGCTGCTCCTTTGACGGATGATGTCAAAAAATTAAAATGGGATACTGTTACTTATGCTCATATGCTTCGCAAGCATGATCTATCACTACTTCACTTATCGGTATTTCCAATATCGATAATCCTATACCTTCCACTTTACTTATTTTTAATAGGTTTAACTATTCCTGGGTTAATTTTCTTTTGCCCAATTGGTCTCATCGCTCAATACGTCGGAAAGAAACAGGGTGAAAATACCATGTTATATGATGAAAATTCATTAGCTGTTACGCAGTGGCCTGGTCGATATGTGATCGCCACGTGGAAGTTTATGACAGGAATCGTTCTATTTCTAATATTTGACTTAATTTATTCGATATTAAGTATACATTTCATCAGAAAATTCGAATTATATGATTTTAATGATCGGGAAGTTTTTATTTTTGGTTCCTTTTTATTTTTTTTCTTTTGGACAGCGATCGCATATGGAACCATGCTGTTATGGGAAGGAATGCGTTGGGTAGGGAAGCGAACATGGGTTTGTATGTGGAGCATTGCAAAACCATATAAAAGGATTTCTTTTATTTCACAGAAAGAAGAATTATCAACTAGAATTTGGAAATGGGTAGAAAATGACAATTAATCTTTTTACAATATATATATTATAAATTTTATATTTTCTATATACTGTAACTGTAATTTGTATATTTCACCTTTTTCATTTTGTAATCTTATAATTATAATATAGTTAATTAACACTCATTAATTTATTTAACATTCCAATTATTGACATTTTCTCTAAGAGAATATTATATAATATA